CTTTCACTCCTATCAAACACACTCATGCATGCCTGCTGGAAGCCCCAACCCCTCCACACAAAACCTCCTTCACCCCCTCCCTCCAACCTTTCCAGGCCGACCCCTACCCCACCTTCCTTCCACTTCAGACTGATGCACTCTTGAAGTCACTCTGTTTCGCTCCATTCCTCTACATCCCCCGAACCACCTCAACAACCCCCTTTCCCTCAGCCCTCTGGACAACAGTTTTGGTAATCCCGCACCTCCTCCTAACTTCCAAACTACGAATTCTCTGCATTATATTCACCCCACACATTGCCCTCAGACATGACATCTCCACTACCTCTAGCCTTCTCCTCGCTGCAACATTCATCACCATGTTCACACCCATATAAGAGCGTTGGTAAAACTATACTCTCAAACATTTCCCCTCTTTTCCTCCAAGGACAAAGTTCTTTGTCTCCACAGACTCCTAAGTGCCCACTCACCCTTTTCCCCTCATCAATTCTATGTTTCCCCTCATCTTTCATAGACCCATTCACTGACACCCCCCACCCCCCAAATACCGAATACATTCACCTCCTCCATACTCTCTCCCTCCAATCTGATATCCAATCTTTCATCACCTAATCTTTTTGTTATCCTCCATAACCTTACTCTTTCCTGTATTCACTTTCAATTTTCTTCTTTTGCACACAATACCAAATTCATCCACCAATCTCTGCAACTTCTCTTCAGAATTCCCAAGAGCCCCAGTGTCATCATAAAGAGCAACTGTGACAACTCCCCCTTATGTGTAATTCTTTATCTTTTAACTCCACGCCTCTTGCCAAGACCCTCCATTTACTTCTCTTACAAACCCAATCTATAAAAATATTAAACAACCATGGGGACATCACACATCCTTGTCAAAGGCCTACTTTTACTGGGAAATAATTTCCCTCTTCCTACATACTCTAAATTGAGCCTCACTATCCTCCTAAAAACTCTTCACTGCTTTCAGTAACCCACCTCCTACACCATACCCCCTGCAACATCTGCCACATTGCCCCCCTATCCACCCCTCCTGTCATACGCCTTTTTTCCAAATCCATAAATGCCACAAAGACCTTCTAAATTTATTAAAATTTTATTAATATATATATATATTATATATATATTATATAAATATATATATATATATATATAGATAGTAGGTTGGTAACGCAACACCCAGGAAGTACTACCGTCCTGCCAGATACTGGAAACAGAAACCTGTAACTTTTTTTGCAGATGGTGGATTCTGGTTTCTTTTTTCTTTTTTCAAAAACTGCTAAAAAAAGGGGATATTTTGCTACTCCACTTACATTTTGGGTCACACTTCACAGACACGTACATGCATAATTAACATACATCTGGGTTTTTCCCCCTTTTTTCTAAATAGCTCTTTTTTCCTCTTTATTTCTTCTTTTGTCCAGGGAAGGGGAAAAGAATTTTTCCCCCGTAAACCAGCTTCCCGTAGGGCAACAAAAATGCCGGGAGAAAGGGGGCAGTAACCCCTTCTCCTGTAGACATTTACTAAAAAAGAGAAGAAAAAAACTTTAAAAACTGGGATGCTTTTAAAAGGCGTGGATGTAGTGCGATACAAAAACAGATGATTTTCTGAGTTATGAATGAAAAAAGTTGGATGTCCTGGGCCCCAAGCGAAACAAAGCGAAGGGGTAGGGGATTTCGGGGGGGGAAATAAATGGGGTTAAATCTGGAGTACTGAGAAGTTAAGCAAAGGAAGGGTAGCATAATGGTGAATGACATTAGGAAAGGGGAAAAGAGAAATAATGTTAAAATTTAAAAATTATGGGGATTAAAGTAAAAAGGTTGGGGCGGGAAGTGGGTCAAAAAAAGCGGTAAAGCACCTGGAGAAGAGAGGAACAGAGGAGGAGAGGATTTTGGGAGAGTTAATGAAAGTAAAGGAGCCTTTTTAACCCAATGAGAGAGTAATTTGGGAGGGGGCCCGAATGCAAAGTAGGGAAAATTTTGAGAGGGGGTGGTAGGTAAGTTTCGGGTGCCAGGTGTAAATGATAATGGGACCCTTGATTGAACTTTGTATAAAAGGGGTTTTGTTATAGGGAAACATATTTTAAGAAAAGAGGATGAATAATATACAAATATATGTAGGGCAAATGACAGTATTTTTTTGGATTATGTATTGGAATAAAAGACGTTGAGTAGACTTCAGGATGTACATTTTATAGAAAGCCACAGATATACAGACACTTCTAGTTGTAGCTACAAGAGAGTAAAAGGTAATGGGATACAAGGAGAATAGAAACATCAGGGGAAAAGAGATGAAGGTTATAAACTAAAAGAGAGGCAGTTTTGGGGATATAAACAGCTATTTGGGGGATAGATGGGTAATGAAGCAAGGCAATGGGGGCGAAGAGGGGTGGGGGAGGTTTAAAAAAAGTAGTGTTAAGTGTTCAGCAGAAGTTTGTGGGTTTCAGGGAAAATGGGGGCGGGAGGGA